TATTGTATTGTATTATTATTGTATTGTATTATATTATCATTGTATTGTATTGTATTATTATTGTATTGTATTATTATTGTATTGTATTATTATTGTATTGTATTATTATTGTATTGTATTATTATTGTATTGTATTGCATTGCATTGTATTGCATTGCATTGCATTGCATTATTGTCTATGTTACAGCCAGGTCAAACCAAACGATTACCAAATTACAAAATTCTTCTGCACAAAGAGACAAGCTCAGGAAAGATCACAGCTGCTACCCAGCTGGTGCAAAAGACCATCATCTATCAATAAATCCAGGCTTCTAAAAGACATGAAACATTATTTTTTTTAAACGATAAGGAAATAGTTTTATTCTGTTTACATGGCAGATGTGAGTCTCAGTGCTGAGTGAATAGAATGGCTCCCAGTGCATATTCCTGTTTTACGCAGGGAAGGAATCGTAACAGCATGATGTGTGAACTGTGAATCGCCATCAACAGCTGATGAAAACGTTTTCTTTTTGAGAAGGACAAGATAAAAGACTGGGGGTCTGTCCAAAAGTGTGTTATAGTTAGCAGCTTGTCAAGTGTTCTGTTTTTAGAAAGAAGAAAATTACTGCCTTTGGATGCGACCGTCATTTGGCTAAAGTTTATTTTACTCCTTCCAAGAATAAGAGGCTGGTGTTAACTTTAAGCCAGGAGGCAGACATTTTCTTTACTCCTTTTGGAAATAAGAGACGACGGGATACCTTTATGCTAGTTTTATTATTTTTTTTAAATAAAGTTTGCTTCAAAACTTTGGCTAGACATCCCCTCCCACCAGCTGAATGTTACGGTTCCAAGTAACACCCCCAACAAAAGACTCAGAGGCTTGAAGTGCCTCCTAGTCATACCCCCCTCCCCCAGGTGCAGGGGCAAGATGTCCTTGACTCTCTGAGAAAGGAATGTTATTTTGACTATATATCTCCCATACTCCATATAATCTCCCCTCCCAATTTCCCTCAGCATTAAATGTGGCAGGCCGGAAGGCCCAATGCACAAAACAAAATGGCTTCCAGGCCTGACGCTAAAATTATCAGCTTCGATTGCATGTTCTTAAGCAGTGAGAAACTGTTTTGTGTAGGTCAGTGGTTCTCAACCTTTCCAATGCCGCGACCCTCTAATACAGTTCCTCATGTTGTGGTGACCCGCAACCATAATATTGGTGTCTCAGTTCCTAAGACCATCGAAAATATGTGTTTTCC